GGGGATGCCGCCATACTGATCATAGTCGATCTTCTTGAGTACTGCGGGACCAACTTGAGTGGCTACAACGAATTCTTCCGCGAGTTTCGAGATGGTGGGGGTCAGGGAAATGGGCCGCAGATGCTTACTTAGGTCTTCAACGGGCTTCTGTTTGGGTAGCGGTACAACGTCAGCTAGCTTCCACGGCGAGGGCAGCTTTTGCTCTTTATAGCTGGAGTTGAGTATAGCCGTAACGGGTTCAACAAGGACCTCTGCATACTCTCGCAGGAGCCAATTAGGAACACAGTCAGGTCCGGCTGCTTTACGCGGGTTTAATTGCTTCAAAGCAACCAAGACCGCAGACTCGGATACAGACAACACATAGGGTTCATCCTCGTGGGCTGCGATTGGCATTAATGGCTGAAAGCTGTCCTTGGTATTCCAAGTTTGCAACTTTTAATTTGTTTATCTTTTCAATAGTATTGTTATAAATTCAACACTCATTTTTCTAATTAAGATATTTATTGACAAACGGGAACGAAAAGAGACTTAAATTCAATTACACTTGTCAAAAAAGAATATTTGATAGTACTACAAAACCAGTAAATCAATTAAAAATCAATGACATCTTCTACAAAAAAAATATATTAACTCAAAACCAAATAATTCCCAATGTGACTGTTAGTGAAATAAGCTTAATGCACCAATCAATTCAAAGCTTCAATATATTGCTTATATGCAACAAAGTGGTATACTCATGACATGAAAGGATAATTTTATTGCATTCTGCCTTGCATCCTGTCATTGCATAAGTCTTGCTGTCAGATAAGTAGTAAAAATATACCCACAGCTCTTAGTGGAGGGGGATCAGAGCTCCCTGAACTGCTCCCCCTTGATCTGCCATTGATTACAAAAGGAAATTTAAATGTAATCCCATCAATAGGAAACAATTACACATATCAAAACAGGATTCTTTTAATGTATAGTCATTTTATCATTATACTTGTGTGCCATCTTATTTCAAAAAACAATCAAGTAATATTTGAATAAAATGTTTTTATCCACAGACAGACCTGTTATAATTGTGTCTTAATAAATCATATTACTGCTGACAATACAGAGTTCTAAGGTGGTTTTTTCTTCTATTTTGTAGTATTTTTGGGCAGGTTGGCATTCCCTCCTTTCCCTCTTTGTGGGCCAGTTAAATTACTTTTCCTAATTTCTGCGTCTTGTTGAACACCCTATTACTTCCTTAAATATGGTTCCATATTGATTACTGCTACAAAAGTTGAGACAAAGTTTGAATACAACATTTCACGACACACGTGTAATATTTTTTTAACAAGTACTTTTTTCAAATAATTTTGTCTGTCTTATTTAAAGTTCACAAGAGGTACTCTATCACTTCATTTCTAAGAATGATTGCCTTATACGGACATGCAAATAAGAAATTTTTCAACAATTAAACCAAACTATTGTAAATACCAATCTAGGCAACATTCAGTCTGTGGTGAGGAGTGAGAGGTCAAATTTTAAGGATGTTTTTAGAAACTGAGCTGCTTATTTCAAAAACAAGTTCTGCAGCAACTTGGACAGGGATTTTCCACGTCAAGCCAAGTTAGACTCATCAAACACATTGTTTTGAAGTTCAGTGTCCTTAGTAATTCTCAGACGGAATGTTCCGTTGTCAGTTTGTATGCCCTGCACAATATTACATCTCGGGACCTTCTCTGCACCCTCTACCATTTGAATAAGTTCTGCAATTTTTGCCTGATCTGTATCGATTTTGTGCTTGAGGAATTCAGTTCTTATATTCTGTTTTCCAACCTCCAAAGCAAAACTGTCATCTCTAAAAACTTTAAGCCGCGTCCTGTGAAGTGACCGGTAGCGAGACAACACCTGGTGTAATAGTGCCAAGAAAAACATTATACTGATGAGAGGCATTGCAAAGACATTTTGCAGCATGATTTCCCAATCCAGGAGATCCCTTGATCCAATCCGTATCTATGATGTTACTATGACCTTTAACCCTTCAAAGAGACTAATAAGATCGTTCGACAGTTGGGTTGTTAATTATCTCGCGGTCCGTTCGCAGCAACTGCTTCGCCGTTCGGTCACCGTTCTCGTACTGAATCCACAGGCTAAACATCTTTGCTTGCAGCTGCCGGTACGTTCGTCGCGGGAGTCTGCACAGTTTATGCTTCGAAACCATTCGGATTTGGAGGGTCGTCAGGCGGCTCTCTTCGTGAAGCAGCTGGTCAGCATGTACAAGGGAAGCTAACTTTTTCCCTGAGGTGAAAAGGAGAATATATATATATATGTAAATAAAACACGAACTCGAAGGAGAAAATGTGCAACAAAACCGAGAAACTACTAACTCGCACTGAGGCAATAACCAAACGAAACCTTAAATTAAAACTGCTAATGCAGTCCGGCGGCCATTGCGTCTGCCGAATTACAGCAGGTGGAGAATTAACGGAAGCTATTTTAGTGACACAGAATCGCTGATGAAAGGCGATACCATAGCGTAATGACAAGCAAATAACCTACCTGCGCTCGTCTGTTGAGCCCGTTGTGCCATCCTTCTACGTCCTTGTTTGTCCGGATGGCTCTTAGGTAAACACTCCAATAGGACAGCGGCCAGGTGTTGATGACGATCCAGTTCTGTTCTACGTAGTTGGCGGAGGCTTTCAGCTGGTCTGTGTTGGCCTTTCTTTTCAGCTTGAAGAACGCTTCTAGAATGGCGCCGGCTGGAAGGAATGGTAGGGCCATGAATTTGCGAAGCAATTGGTAAGTACCTCGGTCGTGATGGTATGACGATTGTAGGCCAGGTTCTTGAACCTGAAACAAAACAAAAATCAGGTATTTAATAAAGAGACTTACGACTTGTAAAATTAATCGTCAGAGACGAGAATTCCTTCGTTTGTAACAAGGTTATAGTTCAGTTCTTTTTTTTTTTTTTTAGATTTTGAGCTTTAATTGTAGTAAACAGAGTTAACACTTCTATATCTAGAGCTATGTAAATGGCCAAGTGTACTTTCGTCCACTTTCTGACTCCTGACAGACTTAACATTGATTACATCGAACATTTAATTTGACATACCTTTCTCCATAGGCCGGCTTGTTTCCTATGAAAACAACAGCCCTGGATCGTCACTGCCGGCATGAGTTTTCGAAGGACACTCTAAACTGCTCTTCGGTAATGAAGTGTCGTTCGCTTCACGGATGGTGTTCTTAGCAGCAACTCGAATACAGCTTTCATCAGGGCTTTGTAGTCGCTTTTCTTTCTCCATGACATGATCGCAAACAGGAGCGGCACCTGCTTCGCACAGGAATCACTTCGCACGAACGCGTTGATGGTTAGTAGCTGGCTAAAGGGGTTTCGGCAAAGTTTGAAAGTACCGTCGATATACCAAGCCTTGGCGCTACATAACACCTCTAGCTGTTGCTGCATGGGTGGCGAAGATAAGGTGACGACGGCCACATACTTGTAAAATTAAACAAAAACAACAACAAAACGTTATTCTAGCTGCTTAAGATATACTTTTCATGTTATCTTGGTAATTCAGCCTATCTATCTATCGTAAAACCTATATAAAATACAACTTAATAACTTCCCTAATAATACAATAAATAGTACAATAAACGCGTGCAACTATAACATTTGATAGTGAAAATATAAATGAAGTAGTTGCAAGAACTTTTTAACTTCGCTTGCAAGTGCCTTTCACATTGACTGTAGAATACTTACTTTAATATCTCCACGGAGAAAGTTCTCAGGGATGTGTTCGGGCTGGAATTCAAACTCGAAACCTACAGAATCTGCTAGTCTCAATCGCTGCCGAAGATGGTTAGCTGCTTTGGCGAGGTTTACCGGCTTTGGCATACTGGGACAGGGATCATCTGTCTGCTCCTCCATTAGCACCTCGTTAACGACTGCAGATAGCGGCTTAAACAAATTCGCAACAGCCTCCTTTTTCTGTCCTTTTAGTAATCCGGGCTGCTGAGCCTGCGCCCACCTGCCTCGGGTGATTGTGCGGCGTGGGAGCCAAGACAAGTTCGCCTGACGCCCTCTCAACTACAGAAACTCTACAGACATTACCCTATGGAGAACTTAAAATACAACAACCAGATTATGAGGCCAACTATAGCGAGAGGACGCATAATCTAATTTTTAGATAAAAATTTTTCAGTTACTTTACATCAACAAATATTCAATAGCATTACATCAACAATTTTTCGATTGCCTCACATCAACAGATTTTCAGTTACATTAGATCAAGCGCTACGATCTTCTGCTTGAAAAACTAAAAGAAATGAATGTAAAAATGTACCTTCGGTCTAACGGTGCACTGCCAATCAGTGTTTCTGCCTTGACGTCTTTTAACGTTGTAAGTGTAACCACGTCTGTCCACCAACTTATTTCGGCCCCGCTTTGTGGAATCTTCCACTATCTCAAACTCGATCTCGAAGCTGAAGCGCATTCTCTTATTAAGTCTTAAATAATCAAAAGTGTGATCAAATCGTGGTTTCGTAAATTCTTCAGTCTTATTTTCATAAATAAAGCTAAACGAGGTAAGTATCATTAAAACTATTACACATTTATTACAAGTCTAACAACAATGCAATGCTGTCGCGACGATAGCGTGGCCGGTTTGCATCTTCTCAAGTCTGGTTGCTGTGTTCACATTTCGTGTGATCACTACAACACATTTCGTGTTTGTTAGATTAACCGAGGTTGTTTCGCATCTTTTCGATTCCGAATAATAAATAAAGCAATGTTGTTTTGATTTAAGTGTGTTTCACGGTCCCTCACAGAGTATTTAGATGATTCCGCCAACCCAGATTCCACGCAAATTTGGACAAAACTTTCAAAAACATTATTGGTAATTTTACAGTTGCAAATAAAGTATAGACACAAGTTGCATATAGCATAAGCTAGTCGTAAAATGTGTTGTAAATACAACACTTCCCAGTTAAGCGTGACACCCCGCAAGTTTTCCATACATTGTAAAATTACCTCTGTGAATTACACCCTTGTACTCACTGTCTGGGAAATCCCACGAAAAGAACCTTAAGTATTTGAGATATTTCTTTCCATGTTTATCTCTTCTTGAATTGTGGACATATCTCATTGAAGAGTTAACGTTTCTTGTTCTAAAAATTGGTTTCCTTCTCATTTTTTGTGCAAACCTGACTCTTGTGTACTTTTCTTTCGTGTTGCATTATTTTTGATAAGATCATGGACTTCCGATGACTTTGGTACGTTTTTACTGAAACAGCCCTGTACATAATTCTGTAGTTTTCTACTTTTCTCAGAGGGACGTTTTAACATCTTCATTGGTACTCTGCTTGGTTCACGGTCACGTTTATAGCCATGCCGGCATTCACACAAAACACGAGTACAATTATAATGTACATACTTTGCATGACGAGATCTGAATTTTTGTACTTTTATTGACACTGTAACATCATTATGTTCATGAGTCATATTAACAACTTTTTCTAGTATATCACAGTCATCAAGAATATTCATCATGTCTTCTATTACGCACATACAACTCCATGCGAAGAGCAAACCAACATCCTTGTACAATAATAATGATTATTTACAAAATGCCAAGTCGTACTTTACAAGTATTGAACCCAATAAAAACCAATAACGGAAACAGGATATTTAACGGAAGTGCTAAACTTAGATATTTAACCTTAAAATTCAAGTTGCTTGTGTCACGGCATCCTTATTCAATTCGCTGTTGTTAGTGCCACTTCCGAAGTTGTGTTCGCGAACATTCTTGATTTTTTCAGCAAGTGAGGTGTTCGTCTCTGCATCATAGTTTGTTGTAAAATCGGTTGTCACAGTTTTGCCAGTATTTTCGTAGTTTGAACATAAGGCTCACTATTTGTTATCTCGTGAGAACTAGTATGAACTTTGCACATTTGGCTAGCTTTCAAGCTATAGAGTTCGTTGACCAGCCCATTCCGAAAACGCTCGACATAATTTAGTGTGGGCCCCCCACGAACGGCGTGTGTGTTTGTATGTGAGATGAGCGTATAAGTCAGGGGTCTTTGCGAGGCAGCCTTCGCGATATACAGCATTCTGCAAACTATGTTGTGTGCGAAGTGCAAACATAACATAAGTTGTCGCTCTCTCATCGCCAGTTTCCGCGGTTTACGCAAGGAACGCCTGTGACCATGACGCCTCCTTTGCACCCGATTCGCTCGTAATTAACCGCTTACAGGCGGATTTAATTAGCATCAAATTAACGTATATAATCGGTCAAAGTAGGGCCTATTTACCTATCGTGAGCCTGTGACGTATGGGATTTTAATCCCATAATATTTAAAAATATTAACGCTCTGTACAGCACCCTTGGCTAGCCCTTTGCTTCGTCACTCTGTATCCCCGCATAGTGTGTATTATAAGGTTAATGTGCGTCTGACCTTTTTACTTTACAATGGAAAGGCAGTCCCGATTAGTTTATTCCGAAGAACAAAAGGAAGAGCCAACCACGTTTTTCAACGAGGGAGTGACTTCCAACAAGAAAGCGATGTGCGACAAAATTCGTGCCTGTGCCGCAAGGGTCGGCATTTGGGAAGACCAAGTGAAGGTATTTTAAGCACCCACGGCCTTAAAGTGATTAAAATTCATTTTATCCTCGGCACCAGGATAATTAATTTCCTGCACTAAATTTCATGTATGTATGTTGTTAAGAGTTTCATGCTATTTAATGTTAGTGTAATTTCATTTTCCCGATCTTTTGACCTTTTCAATAAGCGCTTAATTACGAGCGAATCGGGTGCCTTTTGGCGACCAAGAACGGCTTGCATTCTTAGGATTCGGGCTTTCCGGAAGCTCGAGTAATTAGACAAATTCCCACCAAAACACAGCAAAAGAGTAAGATAAAACCGGAGATGATTGAGGCAAGACTATAACCGTTGTTAAGACACATTTGACTTTTCCGTCTTAGTTAGAGAGGGAAAAATGTCAAGAAAGTTTCTCTTAAATACTCGACCCATTGTTGTTTTCCAACGTATTTTCTTGCATCTCTTCGTTAACGATTCCTCAGCGGGAAACCGACGCAGAAGCATACCAGTTGTTTATCGTGTTGTTTGCCTACGGCCTCGGGCAGTATTTTCAAGACCTCGGTCACAGTTTTTCACCATACGGACCTCCCAGCCGGCAAATAACATATTTATTGTTTTTAAACTTTATGACAATGACACTATTGTTTATACAAATTCATTCTGAAACCAATATTTTTCTGTCAACCAAAGTGATTTGATAGAGAGAAAAGAGAGGATTCATAAGTTATTTATCGGCTTGAGGTAGTGACCGACGTGTTTGCTTAAAAATACTGCTCAGCCGGAAAACGAGGTATATTTATGAAAAATGACAACGAAAGTTGGGATGTACTCGGCAACTCACGAAAGCGTTACCGTGGCCCGTGGGCAGAGATAGGAAAATACTGACCGGGTAAAGAACCAATCAGATTGCAAGATTCGTTACCGTGCCCTCTAAAAAAACAATAAAAAAATTTACAGAATATGCGCAGACAAAGCTCAGCGATTTAAAACAACAATCCCTTTATACTTTAAGAGTATTCGATGTCGATTACTGATCGAAGTACTTATGTGATTCCTAAATGACGAATAATGGGAATTGTACAACAAACTAAATACCTCGTTCTGAAAAACTTCCACATCAAAAAACGGAATAAGCGGGAAACTTTGCAAGAGATACTCATCCCAATTTGGATCATTGTGACGTTAGCGATCGTAAAAAGAAGGTTAATAACGGAGCTGAAACCAGCTGTAAGAGAAAATGAAATACCGACAGCGAAAATTTCCAGCATGGGACTGGCTGGATTACCGGGAATTGCGAGCTCCAAGCCAAATATCGGCTATGTCACCAACAATCTCGCAAATGCTGGTTTGGTTATGGAGATAGTTAGGAACACCTCAAAGGACAGTGCAAAATATGTTGAGTTTAACACTACAGACAGTTTGATAGCCTTTTACATGGAGCACACCAACCTTCTTGTGGGAATCGAATTTTGGAATGGCAAAGAGAAAGGACTTGCTTACACACTTCGCGTCCCGAGAGGTCAACTCCCCTTACCAAAGAACAGACTTGTCGGTGAGTACAGCTACACATACGTGCATTATGGAATCGCACCCACTGAAAAAAGTCCCATGGGAAAATGCAAATAAGCTAGAAAAGAGAAAGAGGGCATGCGTAACTTCACGCAGGCCTGTCAATCCGACTGTCAATCATGTAATCCCCTGTGTATGCCGTATTCACAAGTACTGTTTCTTGCTTAGACAACCGAAACGTAGTGCCATTCATCGAAGAAGAATAGACATAATTAGTAGCGTTATCTTGATTGGGCTATGTAGTTTTAATTACCTTTTAATGTCGGGTTTTTAATTGAAATGCGGCAGATTTACGAGGTTCGACCATCAATTTCACCATGAAAGCAAAATAACATTACATAAATATTCCTTTTTAGCCCGTTATTGCATTCATTTTCCGGTAACACGTTGGTAAAGTCTATTTACTTTTTTCATCACTTTCAAACAATATTAATTGTTCCAATTGTATCTCCATTGTCTCTACATGGACGCAAGTGAAATTTTACAACTCCCGTTTGGGAATTCGTTAATTCAGATCTTAAGAGACCAAAGCTGGCAACCTCCTTCCCAGGTCACTGTGCCTGCAAAGCATCCTGGGTACCCCACTTTTCCTGGGTGATGCTTTTTAATGGGCATGATTCCATAATGGTATATTATTGAATGCATTGTTTACATCGATTATTTATGACATCAACTCCTTAGATGCAGAATATTCATGAGGTGTGTTTTTGAAACCAGTATGACAGGGTGTAACAATATTCAAAGCTGAAACCCAAGACCTGGAACATCGATCCTCCTAAAATGTGAAGTGGCCAGATGGAATTATCAGACAGAATGTTGCCTTCTTTTTTTGCTCCAAATTTACCTGTATTGTAAAAAAGGCCTTCTTACATCAAATTTTCCCTGTCTCCAAACCTCTCAGGTAAAGAAGCAAGGATGTGAAAATTGTACCTTGTATATCCTCTTTAGGGTCCAAGACCCCAAAAACAGTAGGATGTTTGGTAACACATCCCCATCCAGACTAAGGAAAGAAATGTTCCTACTTCAAGCATACATCTCTTGAGATTATTTTGAAAGGTTGTTTGAAAGCACATCCCCATCCATAGTAGGGAAAGGTTGTACCCTCCTTCCCCTGAAATGTATCTAGACAAGCATACATCTCATGAGATTATTTTGACAAGATTTAAAAATGCGTAGTCTAAGACTGCATATAGCTGCACATTTTGCAGTGATCTTTACATTAAGTTGGTATTCAACCCATTTAAAATTAAGAGTTGGTTTAGGGTCAAGGATTCTATCCCTGGGGGTTTACGATTGCAAATTATATATAACTTTTCATGTGCAAGCTGTAGTGCCTGTTATGTTGGTGAAACCAACAAACACATTGCCTCTGGCATCTGCAAACATTTCTCCTTTGACAAACATTCCCACATCTTTCAGCACCCAAGAGGTTCTAAAAATTGTTGCTCCCATTGTTCAGAAGATTGTTTTAAAATTCTGGACTCTGCTTCCACAAGCTTCCAACTGAAAATTGAGGAAGCCATGCACATCCTTTGGGAGCAGCCATCTTTAAATTCCCAAGTCAAACATCTTATTTATCCCTTTCATACTAATTAGTCTCCCTTCTTAGCTTAAATAGTTTCACTTTTTTTAAAAATTATTTGTGTTAACGTCTCACTTTGTTATACTGTTTATTGCATAATTTCATTTTGCTTCTCATTAAACAACTGATGATGGATGATGTTTCATCTGAAACATGTTTTGTTTTCATCAAAAAATGTAAGAAAAATGAACTTCAAAAGCATCGTGTGGTTCATCAAAGCAACATGTATTAATAATAATAATAATAATGAATATTTTCATATTTCATCAACATGTCATCTTTTTGCTATAGCATATTGACATGACAAACTGTTTACCTTACATGTAGTCAAATTTACATATACATCCAAAAACAGTTGGTTAATGCGCAAACACCCCAGTGGTCAGAAAAATGTGTTTCTAAAATAAGGAAGCTGCTTTGTGTTTCTGGTAGATTTTTGAATATAAGGTCAATACATGTTTTGCTGTTAGTAGTAGCACTTGAAACTTTTTTGTTTATAATTATTCCTTGTAAATTTATCTTAAAGAGATACTCTTTTGAAGTCACCCATAAACAGACAAGCACTAGAGTGCGAAGATTGCTGTTCAAAAGTTCTAAAAGTTTTAGGCACAAATGCTCTTGTGGTACTATAAGGGAGCAACATAATACAACGAGTGTAATACGAGGAAGGTTCAAGAACCTCATTACAATCAACTCAATACCATTTGTATTGTAGCAATAAGGATAACTTATCAATTCAT